AGTATTTAATGGCTGTATCAGTTACCTTCAATTGATTTCTGTATCTTAGCAACATGGTTCTAAAATTAGGATTTTAACTTCTCCTTGGGGAGTCTTACTCTAGAACTACTAATGTATTATAATATTCCTCAATGTAACCATCTTTTTATCGAATACTTGCATTTTAAACTAAACATAAATGGCATGCCTATTTATAATTTATAGTCTAGCTTGGGTAGACCATAAGAGCTGAAATGAGAATTGTTCACATTACAATTTGTGGATCTTCAACTCTCAACCTGAATCAGCACCAGAAAAAAAATATATCAAATTTCTTATGTTTAAAAAAAAAATTAAAGGTCAACTCAAAACAAACTTACAAAAAATCACAAGGTAATACCAAATGAACTGTGCAGCATAGAAAATCAACAATTGATTCAAAGAATTAAAGTTTCTAATTCTAGGAAGGTATAAAGATAGAGATGAAATCAGGTTTTTAAGGATCTGGCAAGTTGGAGAGAAGCAAAGTCATTAAAAGCTAGTGGGGGCATGGAGGTGAAAAAAACTGTGGTAAGATTATAAAAGATTTCAAATATCCACTTACGGACTTGGCTTCATCAAAATATTTATATTGGGGTTACAGATCTATATGGAGGTAAAAATCCTTTTTAAAAAATGCATCTAATCGTTCATACTGCCAACTCATTGTCAAGGATGTGACATTAAAACCTAGTGCAAACAGAAACCTGAGCAAAGATGCTCATAACATTTTTAAACGTTGACTCTAATTTTTATTTTATAAGCACCCAGGGGTAAGAAAAAGGAAGTCCAAATATTCAACTCTTGTAAAATTTTCAGTAGACTCATGGGATTAGAGGATAAGAAAAAGTCAAACTGTTTTTCCACCAAATGACCATTAAGACCAGGATATTAATAAAGACCGTAAATCTGGGGAGGAAAATAAAGAATAGGTATGAAGAAAGAAACAGTAGTTTAAGTGGACCACTCTAGTGACAATGCCCAATAAACAGAGGTGTAGGACTGAGACCAGGGTGTATGACGGGAGCTTGAGACATTATTTTGAAATTGTCTACCAAAATTAGAAACAGAACCCACCATGACATATTTCTTTATGCTCTTCCTACCATCCTCCCTAACACCAACAAAAACATCAATATAGATCAGATCACTATAACACCTGAAACAATTTGCTTCAGGAACATTTTGAAGATAACCATTTGTTGTAATTGTGGATACTTCAGAGATACTTATCTTCTCTGTGTACAAACCAAAGGAAACCTTACAAATTTTTTTAATACTCCATTCTATGGAGAGACTTTTTTGTCTAGAATGAAAACCAATAATCAAAATAATCTTTAATTGCTTGTAGTAAAACAGATACAGATTTAAACATGACTAATTTTTATTTTATAAGCACCAATATTTAGAGCTATTATATTTTAAAATAATTTTAACAAATATTTTTAAAACTATACTAACAAGAAATAGAAATTGACCATAAAATAAAATTCATGTTGGCATCCACTTGTAATATTCAAGAAAGAAAAAGAAAGTTTAAAAGACTGACTTACATAGCACTTGTTCTCTGGGGATGTCTATACCTAACAAAATTTTTAACTGAAGCTCTTTGTCTCACAAGAACAAGACAAGACCAAGTACATCCTGGAGCAGCCAACATTCTCTAGGTTTCTACTCGTACAGTAGACTTTAGTGCCCTATTATATTTCAGATGTTAGCCACATTGTCCTACAAAGTTCCCCAGTAGCAGTGGTTAATGGGAGTGGTTGGGGTTCATGGACAACAAACACTAACCATTTATTTCTTATTTGAGGCAAAAGGATTTTTAAAAAAAACTGATTAGTTTTAGGATGGGAAGAATAAAACAGATTAATCTGAGATCACAAATGAAGTTATGTGAGAACTGATGGAAGGCACTACACAGATGTGGAAGAAGCAGAAATCAGTGCTCAAATATGGTTTTCTCCATGAAAAGATCAAGAGGATAGGCAGACTAATCAAGTTGACGGAAATAGCTGGCATACCACCCCTGGTTAAGAAGCAATTTGATAACTACAGAGAGAGTTGTATCTGTTATCCAGCCTCGAATTCCATTGCTATATCTTCCTATTATAACTTTAGACTTGAGCCCTCATATCTTCAATATGGTTTCTTAAATACACACAAAAAGCACTTAACTGATCTCTATATTTTTTAAAGGATAGCTTGGTGATTTCAAATGTAACATGGCATTAGAAAACCACCACATTCTAGAGTCTAAAATATATACATACGTACTTGTAGTTCTGAAAATCTTAGTAATGTCTGCCTAATTCTACTTAGCAGCATAGCAGAGAAAAGTGTTGTGTATTTTTTTTTTAATTAGGCTAAATTAGATTAAATCCCATATTAACCTTAAAAATGGGATTTTAAAAGTGATTATTATACCTCTACTCTTCTCAAAAATCACAGTTTAAAGACCTGAAACTGTGGCTTAGGGTAATGTCTGTAGAAGTGTCTTATGTATATAATGATTTAAAGCAGCTCCAAAATGAAATATTTGAAATAGAGAGGTTTTTTTCCTACTTATTGTACTAAACACATTTATACACATGGGTGACTAACATTTTCTTTGTAAGCAACTCAATAATAACTGACGTTTTTAAATGTTCTTAAAAAAATAATAATAAAGTACTCTGGAAATGATCCTGAAGAAAGTTTCAAGAATGGACAAAAAACAAAAACAGGCCAATTTTAGATGGAAATCCTAATTACATAGAAGGGCTTTGCTGCCTTAACCATCAAATGGTTTCATATTCTTCTTGCCATATTTATGCAGGCAAGCGATCTCAAAATAAACAACGTATTAAAAGCATATATACACACACACACACACGTGTGTGTGTGTGTGTATGTACACAACATATAAATTCATACACATCTATCTCTGCTATCAGTACTCAGTATACACCTTTGAGTTTGTATATACAAAACAATAATTTGTATTCACAACTCAAGAGTCATCAAAATGACTTAAATTCAGTATAGTTTGTTTCTAAGGAGGTACTATATACAACACACATCTAAAAGTTCTGTTTACAATTTCATCTTGAGGGGGGGAAAAATAAATAAAGCACCTGTCAAACCTGGGTGCTGGAAGTTTTCCCACTGAATATTATGATGGCTTCTTCTGCTAGAAAAAGGTCTGTTTTGCCTAACTGGTTTTCTTGTAATTTAAAACATAGCAGAAATCATTGGTGGCTTTGCACTACTTAGCAAGTCTTCATTATACCCTCCTTTTTCTCCCCTTAGGTATTATTTTGAAGCAAAGCCCAGACACTATATAACTTAATTCTGACTATATTTTGATCGGGGTGAGAGAGGAAAATACAGCAGAAAGACTGGGTAATGAGAGAAATAATGTTCCCTCTTTCCACAACTCCATCCTGGCCATGACCACAATTTTAAGTGATATAATATTAAGGAATGTTTTAAGGAAAGAAGCCCATATACCATCCAAAAGAACAAACTGGAAGACCAAATTTACTGCAGCCGCCCTAATACTTCTTCCCTCCAGCTCAGACAGACTTCAACATTTCAGCACCTCCCTGCCTATCCAACAGCAAAGATAATACTGGGAAGCAGTAACGGTGTGACTGGTTAGTGTATTCCAGTCCCTGATCTCTGGCACAGCCTCAAAGGACTGCATCCAATGGAACTGTTTTTCTCAGTACTAGACTAATCACTAAGGCCTGAGCTAATAAGACTCCTCCAGTTTAGACAGGAATTTAACCATCCACCTTTTACAATATGTCTACAGTTGCCCAGCTGATGTGCTCAGTGGTTGAGTGTCAACCTATGAATCAGGAGGTCACGGTTTAATTCCAGGTCAGGGCACATGCCTGGGTTGTGGGCTCAATCCCCAGTAGAGGGTGTGCAGGAGGCAACCAATAAATGATTCTCTGTTATCATTGATGTTTCTATCTCTCCCTCACTTTTCCTCTCTGAAATCAAAAATATATTTTAACAACTAAAATAAAATATGTCTATGGTTAACTCCATGGGCAACCAGCAGGAATGGGAAGGGAAAGGAAAACTGCAGGCAAGAGAAGGAGTGGCAGAAACTTAACAGGAAGTTGAAAATATCAGCCTAGTGACATCATCTCCTCTGACCTCTCACAGTCAAATATCAATCAAAATGATTTGTTAATCTGTAGTAAATATTCAAATGCCTTTAAGAAATAAACAGAGTGTTTCTTTGAAATGAAGTCAGAAAGAAAATCCAATGATTCTGTTGTTCCTGAATATTGTAAATATGATAAAATCTGGAGGGAAGCAAGCAGTGATGATAGCACCATAAATTCTTATTGTTTCATAATGTAGGAAAAATGTTTACTCTTAAATGTCAGTATCTAGTACTCTATAACTTTTAAAAATACCAACTCAGGTTTCACCAACAACCAAATATTAATATTCAGGCTATAGTCTCACCTTGTTTAACTACATAATAAAGAGACTATTTACAAAGGATAAATTTTAATCATCATAGGAAGAAAACAGATTTGAAGTAACTTCCAATAACTCTTGTGTTGGATTAACACCTGTGAACACAAAGCTGCCCCACAGGCTGCATTTTATAAATAACTAAATATTTTTACTACTTGATTCACACAAGTCATGTTTCATCCCAAGCCTCTCCACTGCACACAATCTACTGATCTCTGTCCCAGGGATAAGATTTATAATAAAATTTGAAGTTAATGATCTTTCATAATAATAAATAGGATGAATTACTTTTCCTCCATTTGTAATAAGACTGTCCCAGTATCATCATTTCTATTTCTAATATTTTTAATACTTTCTATAAAACAAAAATTAGTTCATTTTATCATTATATATCTAAAGAATAATTTTGCAATAATACAAAGACTGTGAGAAATTTTATTACAATTAATATGGATATGTAAAATTTCTCAAGTGCACAGCAGACTAAATATACTCACTTTTGTTGTCTTTGTATAGAATGATGAGGAGAGTTGGTGAATAGGCAGGTCCATGATACTACTGGAGTTTGTGACACTGTTACTATGTGTATGTTCATCTTCCCTGCTACTATCATCAGACTGATCAAAATCATCACTCTCCTGGTCCATTTCCTCTTCCTCTTCATCCTCCTCATCTTGTTCCTCAGCATGTTCTTCATCCTCCTCTGGTTCTTCATGGTTTCCTGAGGAGTCCTCATCTACCGAAATAAAGCGATTATTGTTTTCTTCTAATTGTCCTTGCTGGGAATCATTTTGGTCTCCAGGTCTAGGATCTGCTCCGACAACTTCACCATTCCTTGCGGTGTGTTCCTCCTCTTGTTGCCTTAGCTGTTGCTGCTGCTGTTCCTCCTCCACCACACGATTCATCTGTTCCTCATCTGCCTGGCTTGCGGAAGGGTTACCTCTCACAGAGCCTCCAGTTCGTCGTCTTTTGCTGCCCACAGAGAGCAGTTCCTGATTCATTTCCAAAAGCCAGCTTGCTACTTCTTGGACCTTGGCTAGACTATCAGAAGATGCAAAGGTTTTCACATTCTGTAGGGGAAAATGAATGAAGACAAAAAGGTTTGTACAATATACATTATCTCCTACTTTTATGTTTTGTCTATATTCCAAATTTTATTAAAGATCATAAAAAGTATTTGATGCCATTGGGGCATTAAAATATTCTTTAGAAATCAATATAGAAAGTTTAAATTGTTAAAGTTATAAGACTTTATAAAAACATACCCCCCAATCACATAGTAAACAGCTTTATTTTCCTCTTCTTTTTAAAATTACTATCAGAATGAAGATTTAATTGCTTTGGTCACTAAAAACGTTTTGAAATTTTGGATCAGTAGTTCATAAAATATATCTTTTGTAAAACTTCCAGAAAATGTTAAAATGTCTCTCACAAAAACAAACAAACAAACAAACACCCATCCAAAGCTCAGTTAAATTCAGGAAATGCTGAGGGAAGCCAAGTTAAAAAGGCTTTTTTACTCTAGGAATTTCCCAAACTTCTCTGATCACAGAACCTGGCCTTTAGACACAATTTTCTGCCAGGTACCAAGTATAATCATTATGAGTTTCACTTTTCACAATAAATATAAATAAGTCAACTGGATAGCAAATAAAATAAACTAAAAAAAAAAAAAAAAAAAAAAAAAGTTTTGTTTTTTTTTTAAAAGGAAAAAAGTTCATAAGATCATACCCTCTGACCCAGTAACTCCACTTCTGGCAATCTATCCTAAGGAAGTAATCCTAAAACAGAAAAAAAAATTATGCATAAGATGCTCACTGCAGCTTTACCAACAAAAGCAAAAAATAAATAAATGAATAAGTAAATAAATAAATATCAATAAAAAAGCAAAATCTATATGTTCAAGAAAAAGGAATCTATTAGATAGGATAGAGTGCAATTACTAAACATCATGTTCACTTTTAAAAATATGAAAACATGGATGCTTATATTATGCTAAGAGCAAAATGCAGGGAAGTATATCATCACAGCATGGTTTTTCAACTACATAAAGACTAGAAGACAATATTTCAAAATATAAGCTGCATTTAAGCAGTGTATTATAGATATTTTAAATTTATTTTTACCATATTTCTCAAATTTTATATATCAAACATATTAACTTTTGTATTTTTTTAACATAGACTCTAAAATTTGGTGACAGAAACTTTTCATAATGTTTATTCTTAAATGTCATCCTTTGAAGACACATGGACATGTTCAATAATGCCAAATCATTACACAAGTTCATATGAAATTCCTTTAAAATATCTTTAAGGTTTAAGATATGAAAAGTACAATATCCATTTCTATCACACCTTAAGAGTAACCATATTATATCACAATGGTGTTTGGCTAAATCAGTCCTACTTACTTTTCCAACCTTGCCACTAGATGGCTGAGTTCTCACTGCAAGCTTTGAAACAGGGCCAAGAAAGTCTAAAACATAGTTTGAAAATAGCAATATTTAACTGTATTTTTTATCATCTACACTTTCCAAGAAATAAGCTATACTGTGGGCTGGGGTGGAGGGAATTCTTGAATTCTAATTCTATTAGAAATGTTAAGTGTAGAAAGATAAGAGTTCCAAAAATTGAGCCCTGAGGCACTCCAACATTCTGAAAGAAGAGGAATAAACCAGCAAAGATGATTAAGAAATAATATCAGGAATGAGTGGTAGCCTTAAAGCCACATAAAGCATATCCAAGAGGAGAAAGTAAATAATAACAACCATTGTGATAGATCAATGGGATGAAGACTAAATCACTAGATTTAGCAACACAGAAGTCATTAGTAATGGGAGCGATTTTTGGTAGTTGAAGTCTCATTAAAGCAGAGTTAAGACACTGGGAAAAGAGAATAGAGATGGTCAATTGGACAAGTTAGAAGTCTGCTGCAAAAGAGAATAAACAAGCGAGTGTTGACTGATAGGGGAAACGATAATTGATAGAGAAGATTTTTGATGCTTTAAGATTGAAGAATTAGCAATATAAGTGTATAGCGACAAGAATTAGCAATATAAGTGTATAGCGATAAGTGTATAGCGATAAGTGTAAGATTGAAGAATTAGCAATATAAGTGTATAGCGACCAGTACAAAACAAAAAGTTGAAAATGTAAGCAAGAAAGAGAAGAAATAGTTATGTTCTTAGTTGTTAAAAGGGGATGACAAAAAATTCAAAAATATAAGAACTGGTTTTACTTAGAAAAATGAATATGTCATTTATGGTGCCAGATGGAAAAACAGAGTAGTATTATAGGTGCTTTAAATTTATTTATTTATTTTACTATCTCTCAATGTGGAAACAATAAAAATAAAAAAAGGTGAGATTTTTATAGTGGCAGGAGTCTTTGGAAGTCCCCTACTCATTCCTTTTGTTTTTTAACTGGTTAAAGTAGGAAACAAAGCTGGGCATTATCTTGGGAGAGGAGGTATTCAAAATTTGAAGGAGATATGAAATAGTCCTTTAGGGTGAGAGGAAGGGAACTTCCCTTGGTGCATGTAATTTTGGTGATCAAACGTAATCAATAAACCATGATGTAATATATATTAAATGGGGCTTTTAAAAGTCAAGTGACTCTTATTTACAACTCAGGTTAACACAGTACAAAACTTCTATTTGACGTAGACTGAAACCATTAAATATAAATAACTAAATCAGTTTTGAACAAGGGTAGAAGGTAAAGTTCCTTAGAGGCACATTAAATCTATCCATTGTTTTCAGAAGGTAAACTCCAGAAAACAAAGGTCATCAAAACCTTACAAGCTAATATATGTCAAAGACAAACTGAAAAACATCACAGGAGAGCAGGTTAAATATAAGATACTGTGTCACCTGGCACTCATATATATAGTAAATCTCTTGTACATAGGTTTTATTATATAAAGGTAAATCTCTTGTACATAGGTTTTCTTCAAAGAATCAAAATCTTGCTTTAGTAACTGTATTTAGGTAGCTTTCTCAACACTGGCAAGGACATTTTCACTTGCATGTTTATACACAGAACACATGAAATTAGGGATGGTGCCTGGGATGATGCAGGCCCCAGGCAAATTGCCCTTTGTGTGCCCAAACTAACAGGCATATTTTTACAAGATTGAAACAGGTCGAATGACACATTAAGAGTAACTTACATAGTGAAAAGATGAAAGGACAAAGTTCATAAAACAAGTCATAAAGAATAGCAGGCAGCCTATCAACAAATAGAAAATTTATTATTGGCATTTCTAAAATAGTACCAGAACTGGTCGTCAATGAACAGTTCTGTTACCAATTATAAATAACAAAAATTCAAATCTCTGTCTTCATGGAACTTTGTGTTATATTGGGAGAACAGGAAAAAAATGCCTTAATTTAAGCCAATAAAGTTCAGTAACTCCCATATTTACAGTGTGACATGTAAACATCTTTCAAATTAATGCAGATGCTTATAGACAGACCTGATCAAAACTGGTGAATCCAAGCAGAAAAATCAAATTCAAAGCATGGCGAATATAAAATAAACAACACAGCTAAAAGTCAGATGACAGGAATTCCAGAATATTAGAAGAGGCTGAAAATATCTAAATGATAGGCAGGTAAATTTTTTTTTCCAAATAGTATATATATTGGATTGGACTTCTCTAACCTATTTTGGTAATGAAAATGGGAGTGAACATATAAATTTTCACTTTCTGTTGCTATTCATAAATTTAAAATTAAACAAAAACTGTATTCAAGTCTGGCGAGTTGGCTCAATTGGCTGGTAAATCCTCCCATGCACCAAAAGGTTGCAGGTTCCATCCCTGGTCAGGGAGCTTACAGGAGGCAAATTGATAGATGTTTCTTTCTCACATTGCTCTCTCTCTTACTCTCTCACTCTCTCCCTCTCTCTCTCTCTCTTTGTCTCTCTTTGTCTTCCTCCCTCCCTCAACATATCCTCAGGTGAGGATTAAAAACAAAAACCAGTATTTCTAGGAAATTAATTCTAATAATAATCTAGTAAGCTAATCACATAATTAAAATAATACTTATCCAATAATTAATAAATCATAATCAACTCCTAAGTATTTTAAGGGGTAGAAAACACATTTTTAAAAATAGTTTATAAACCCGTTTGTTTGTTTTTTAAATTAAGTACCCACAATCTTAAACTTGAAATTGCCATACTGGAAAATTAATAAATGAAGTATTATCAAAAGAATACATACTCTTGCTTTTGAAATTCTAAGCTTTTTTAAAGAAAATTTTTTGTATAATTTTGGATATGTGTCATAAAAATACTAACATCAATAAACAGAATCCTATATGTACGCTAAAAAAAAAAATCAAAGTAAAATGCCAGGATGCTTTTATTTCTTCTTACCAGTAGAAGTACTAGTATATAATGTCAACACAGATCAACTACATCACTTATGTTTTTATCAATAAGTGGTGAGATCACACTGGAGGTCAGTAAAATAAAATCTGATGGCTAATATATTGCCATTAAATTGTAGAATTTCCTTGAGTGGCATAAAGAGAATGAAAATGATTCAAAATAAGGCAGACAAGCAATTGAGGTTTAAAGAGATTAAGTAAATTTCTCAAGATTGCCAGCTTCTAGCAAAGCAGCACTCAACTGAGTTTTTCATGTGCCTCAGTCTACATAAGAATATATTCTCTAACATGATAGTACCTTCTTTTCCAAAATCAGAATCACTATAATCCCTAAAGATTATTTCTCTAAAATAAATATTTACTGAGCCCCCAATATGCTTCAGGAACATATTAATTTTCTAGAGAATAATATTTCTTTAAAAGTTAATCAATGGCTTTTAACCTGACCAGAATCCATAGTAAAATTAGATTTTACATTATAACTCTGTATACATGTGTTCAAACAGACCTAAAACAGTGATTTCAGAGAGAGGGGATTACGAAATGTTTTACCCACCTTAAGTCTGTAAATTACCACCCTTAATTAAACAACCTGTTCTCATT